TGTGTACTTTATAGAAATATATATTAACTTGTGTATATGCTGTAAGTAAGCAGAGATTGAAGTGGCTCAAATAGACATCAGAAAGAATGAGAACTAAATCTTAAAACGACATCCTGGACTAGGATCCAGAACTGGGATCCAGGACTAGGATCCAGGACTAGGATCTGATCAGAGGTCAGTTTTTAACTTCCTGATGAACTCACAGTGTCGCCAGACTCTGTCCGGTCTTCGGGTCCCAGAATTTGATTGGCTGCTGGCTGTCTTTACTGCCAGAGACCACCAGACCTTTGGTGGGATGCCAGTCGACACACTTCACATCAGCACCGTGACCTACAGACAGACAGAACAAATGATTATTGATTATTAGAAATGTTGCTCCCGTTTCCTCTTTTGAAATCTACAGAAACAGAATCTGGATTTGTGGGTCCGTACCTCTCAGGATTCTCTCCTCGTGGCAGCGCAGGAAGTCCCAGATACGAACCGTCCCGTCGTCGGAGCAGGTCGCAAACTTATTGTCTGTGGGAGAGAAACTGCAGACAGAGGAAGACCATGAGATCTGATCAAAAGCTCCAGCACATGATTTATAATCACTAACATTTAATGATCATTTATATTGATTGATCTCACTAAAGAGTGACAGTGTGACACTCATGTCTGTGATTATTGATTATTGACTGCAGTTGAATAAAAACCTCATGTAGATTTTGATTTAAACAACTCACTCTGAACAGTTTTTAAGAGTTCGAGGAGCTGAAATTATTGCTTGTGTTTATTTGTTTATTCGGCCATTTTGAATATAGTGGTCATTTTTGGCCGTTGGCGCGTTGTATTTTAACGGACTCCTCCGAGGGGATTGATCGTAGCTACGATATTCTGATACTGAACGTGATTGAACTTTGTTGAGTGTAATGAGGCCTCTGATGTAGGTTATTGTTTTGGTAAAGTTTTCCTAAAATAAGGGAAAAAAACCTCAATATATGACCTTCTAATACGATACACAGCTGTATGTGATAGGAACTCGTCTCCAGCCCAACATACAGTCATACTCATAGCGCCACCTGCTGGCAACAGCAAGTAATCCTTTGTGATATTTTCTGCTGTGGTCCACACATGATGCTGGCACAACGCAACCACAGCACGCCCGACGAGCGTGGACTGCAAAGGCTTGATCACCGCTGTGCTTTTATTATTACTGTTGTTATTGTTATTATTAGTTATTGTTGTTGTTATTATTACTGTTGTTATTATTAGTTATTGTTGTAGTTATTATTAATGTAGTTATTATTAATGTAGTTATTATTAATGTAGTTATTATTAGTCTTCTGCACTGGCTCACATTTCCATGAACTGGAAGGAGCTAGAAACAGGACACTGCAGTCTGAGTTGTTTGGTGGCGCCCCCCAGTGGTGGATCTGAATGAGAGTTTCAGGGTGTGTTCCAGGTCCTTATATGGACGCATCCTGTGAGTGTTGTGATGATCAGTCCAACGGTTGTTGACTTCTGTCTGTTAATGTGCGGAGCCACGCCGCCTCTAAAGCTCATTGGTCAATCTGTTGATAAAGTTCTAAGTTATCAATAAGCTTTAAGTAAGTATTGATCAGCTCCGTCTGATATTGATCCACAGAAGGTTTGGTAGCAGTCGGACCGACGTTCAGGAGGAGGCGGCAAAACAATGTGTTCAAACTAATTCAAAGTGGCCGACCTTAGTGGTCCAAGAGGGTTTCTGTAGACACAGTGAGCTGACGGGCCTTCAGTAGATCGGGTCATTACAGCGCCACCCTCTGGCTGATTGGGCTCACAACAACAACAACAACAACAACAACAACAACAACATTAAACAGACACAAAGAATCATTTCTGCCTCTTGAAGCCCAAAAACTGTTCAGTGAATTCTTAACACAAAATAATTTCAAATTTTGGACTCATTGATTAGTGGACTCA